TCTGCTAAACTTCCCATGCTGGGTGATGATGATCTAATTAGAAGAAAACTTGTGCTGGTATCAGGTTACTTGGGGGCTGCCAACAGGTTACCCTCACGCTCAAGTGGCAGGGGAGACCACTTAGTGGCAACCGTGAAATCCAACGTCCTGCCATCCCATGGTTCTCCCCACCCCAGCAGGTGGGTTGGGGTGGGACGGGGTACATCAACTGGCAGGTGGGTCAGTCGATGCCAGGATTCAGTGGACCCATGCTGTGCCAAGGCTTCTTACAGCTGTAACCAATAAAGGTTGTGACCATTTTATTCCAAAACATTGTGAGTGATGATTTTATTAGCAGTTATATGTCATCAGCTTTGTCCATCTTCTCATGCCCAATGGATTAGGAATACTGGGTCTTAACATGCCTCTGAGATCATGTTTATATGGTTCTTGTTAAGGCATCAAATGTGCGTTATCAGTCCATGAAATATCCACAGCTATGCTGGTCACCTGCTCATTTGCCCAAACTGTCACTGCAAACAGTGGAGGCTGAATGGTCTCTATAGCTGCCTCCCAGGTTCATTATGGAGGTATCACACAAAGCACCAAACGATGCCTTCTTTTGCCAATTATACTTCTTAGGCCCAAATCAGAGATGGTGCTGGAAGCTTCATCACTGAAGTTTCTGATTTTATTTTCTTTAAATAACATGCACACAGAATGCTCCAATGTGGATTAGAACCTCAACATGAACCAAGGGCACAGGGAAAGCTTTCACCTCTTGCTGTATTTCCAAACCAAAATGGCCCAGACAGTTGTCCGCTGCCCACTTGAAAATAGCGGGCGCCATGCGTGCCTGCTCTTTTCAAGCATAGGCTGATCACTCCTGCCCCACAAACCACGAATTTGTGGCTTGCACGGCAGGCATGCACAGTGCCCACTCTTTTCAAGCAGGGGCCACCAGCTCCTGCCCCGCAAGCTGCAAATTCATGGCTTGCAGGGCAGGCGAGCATGGCCCCACTCTCCCCCAACCATTTAAAGGGAAGGTTCCCTTTAAATGGTTGGGGGAAAGTGGGGGTGTGTGTAACAGGCTGGGCTGGGCCAGGAGGCAAGAGTCAGGAGTCAGGTCCAGTCCGAGGGTCGTAGCCAGAAGTGACAGAACAGGAGCCAAGTCAAGAGTCCAAGAGAATAGTTGTCCAAAGCAGGAAGTCCGGGAGCCAGGAATCCAAACAGGACCGAGGTCCGAAGACAGGAACTGAGGAAGGGCATGAGGTCAGCACGGATATGACTTGTTGCTTCCACAAAGAGCCCAACCCCAAGTGGGAGCTATATAGGCCTCCGACAGTGCTTCCTGTAGCAGCAGCGCTGCCCCTGTCCATATTCAGGGCTCGGCAGCCACCTCCCCTGCCAGCATGCATCTTGGTGGCAGGTTGCTAAGTCCCTGTGGAGCCACTTCTTCAGCTGAGCCACCCACAGAGGTAAATCAGGCAGGCTTTCTGTTTGCACCTGTACCTCGTCGGCTGCTGCAGGATCAGGTGTGGGGGTTACTGGCTTGGGCACTGGTGGCAGCAAGCTGTCAACTTCCAAGGAGTCAGAGGGGCTGGCTGGTTGCACTGCCAACTCAGGCAGGGGCCCGGTGCGGTCGCTGCCACCCATGACAGCGCACGCAGCACTTCATCCCCAATGTGATAATGGCACTCTGTATGACATCATCACATCGGAGATGGCCCCCACCCTTTCCCAGACCCCCCCCCCAAATCCCCCCACTGGGGAGATGGGACCTAGCAACCCTAGAATATGCCCATATTCTGACTGCACTTTATCTGCCAGGTAGTCAGTTCTACTGCACAAGGTTGCAATGCCATATTTCCCTGCCTGAGTTAATACTAAAACGATGGTTTCAGAAGGTCATACACAAATAATGTGGCTACTTTGATAATAGTAGCCTTTAGATCTTACTCTAAAATTCTCAGCTGTTAAACAGCCATTTAAAACATCAACAAAAAATGTAGTCCTCAAATTATGCCCCGTTTGAGAATAGGGCAGTGTGGCAGAAAGAATGTGTGTGGGAGAGAGAGTAAGAGAGCAAGAAGGTGTTGGCAAAAGTAAAACTGCTAAAGATGGGGTGCCATTCAGATAAGAAATATTTGGGCAGATCTACCTCCTTCCCCATGGATCAGACCTTATTCAAGCTTTTATGTCCTTGGCCTACATGCCAAGTAGCTGATTGTACCACACAAAACCAGGGACACACCATTCTCTGTAATCTGAAAGGGTGCCTGCAGCTAAGAGGTATTTAAAAAAAATAAAGGCAGTACAACAGCATAATTAAAGAAAAACCTAAATGATAGATAAGTGGAAATCTAGAGTTAAAGTAATCTTATCTAATGGACTTCTACGGCTACAAAGCTTCTAAGTGCTTTGCTCTGTGGTAGGCAGAGAGACTGGGGGATTGTTTCTCTCCCTTAAGTAAGGAAGGGCTCCATAAGGATGGAGAAAATTTTTACACAGAACAAAAAGGGAGAAGCACTGCTCTTAATTACACAGTCTGTGGAATCAAACCCAGAGTTACAGTCATATACTTTAAAATACTGTAAGAAATCTTACTGCAGTGGCAAAGTCTTACTGGACGATGTAGCTGACCATTCTTTCAGAATGCAGCTGTACACAAGGGTCAAGTGTTGCAGGATGAAGACTTATGAGGGAAGGATTGGCCTTCTTCCGGCCCACCACCTCTCTTTCCCTGCTCACAGAAATCTATACTTTCTGGTTTGAGAATATGTGACGCTATGATTCACCACATTAAAATATGCCTACCAAAGCAGATGAAGAAGGGCAGATTTACAAAAATGAGGAGACTGAGCATAATTAGATGATCACAGTGCCATGGTACCCCACACCGGTCCACAGAGCTCAACTAGCAGCAATCTGAATAGTAAAAATAAGTCAATTGCCAACTGTGCTCCAGCAGTTGCTTGTGCCCTATGCTGCACGGGCCCATTTTAAGACTACTTGGTCTAACTTCTTGTTTCCCTGGGTCTTTCCGCTTACTAACTTCCTTCAGTTTTTCCTTGTTCAGTTGGAACTGGCTCAAACCACAGTATTCTGGATCCTCTTCTGGTCCCTCTTAATCCAAAGTGTCTCTCGGTTTCTCATTTTCTGGACTCCAGATGCTAAGTAACTGCTCAGAAGAAGCTGCCTAGGCTTTTGATGAAAGTTTTTGTCCTTCCTGCAGGTCTTGCTACACTAGGGCTGTCAACTCTGGGTTGGGAAATTCCTGGAGATTTGGGGGCAGTGCCTGTGGAAGGGGAAATATGGGGATGGAATCTATGTTATACCACAGAGTTTGCCTGCTGAAGCTACCATTTTCTCCAGGAGAACTAATCTCGGTTGTCTGCAGGTCAGTTGTAATTCCAGGAGATCTCCAGCCACCACCTGGAGGTTGGCAACCCTCTGTTACATACTCTCTGGTATATTTGGAGTTTGGTTTCAAAATAACCTCTTAGTCCACTACTGTTTTAAGTTTGAAGCCATGTCAGACATTGTTTCTTTCCATCACACCCGTATAATTCCATCTGTTTTATATCATTTCATGGCTGGTTTAATCACACAGGCAGAAGGGGCATTTTTCTGGGGCAGCACGGTCGGGTTAGAACGGATAAAAGGAAGTACTTCTTCACCCAAAGAGTGATTAACACATGGAATTCACTGCCACAGGAAGTGGTGGCGGCTACAAGCATGGACGGCTTCAAAAGGGAATTAGATATGCATATGGAGCAGAGGTCCATCAGTGGCTATTAGCCACAAGGTATAGATAGGGACTCTGGGGCAAGTGATGCTCTGTCATCTTGGTGCTTGGGGGGGTCAACAGTGGGAGGGCTTTTAATGTCCTGGCCCCGCTGGTGGACCTCCTGATAGCACCTGGTATTTCTGGCCACTGTGTGACGCAGAGTGTTGGACTGGATGGGCCTTTGGCCTGATCCAACATTGGCGTCTGTTATGTTCTTAAGGTTTCCTCACCATACCAGAGGTATGCTAATTCCTGCAAACTGAGAGTGCATACCAGAAGTCTTTGTGATGTCATAAGGAGTTTGGAGGGTACTCTCTGTTTGCCTGACATTATGCGACACTCTACTTAAAACAGTGGAGACCTTGATGGGAGCCTCCACCTAGACCCTTGTAAAGTTCCTTGTTCTGTTCCATTACCCTTTTTTCTTTTCTATTTCTTTCTCCCTTTCAAATATTCTAAATTTTGAACTTCACACTCAAAGCACCATGCTTATTCTCACACAGGGTTTCTTTTTCTTGTCTTTTTTAAAAGTTTGGCTTGAAAAAGTTAGGTGTTATATGCTAGAAATCTGCAATTGAGAAATATATGAAAGTTTCTAAAAATGTATGTACAAATATGAGAAGGTTAGAGAAGAATAATGTCTGCAAAATTCTCACTGAGGTTAAGTCTTCCTTTGCTTTCCTCCAGCAAATATATTCAGAGTCCTCCCAAGGGAATAGAATCCAACTGAAAATCTATCCCATATCTAAACAAAAATTGTCTAGTGTATCCATGGCCAATAATAATTCTCCGCAATAATTGTTCTCTCTCCATTCTACACTCCCACCAATTTTGTTTGAAAGCCCATGATGTGGTCGGTCACAATATGGTTTAATTTAGCAAAAGTTGTTTAAAATTGCAGGTCTAACATCTCTTCAGTCTAAGCATTGTACAATGCAGCCCTCAATGACATCAGAGCACATAACAACTGCAGGCAGAAGGGATATGAGAATTCTTTTCCACTCAGGCCTGTTATGACATCACAATAATCAGCTGCTTGTAGCAGGGTGATGCTCATAACCTAGGTGTTAAGCAATCACAGTCTGGGCTAGTATGTGATAACTAGCTTGCAGGACCAGCTCTGTACATTATCAAATGGCAATTCACCAAATGGCATCTCTCACGGCAGACATTCTGTTTGTAACTGCTAAGCAAACAGACATTTTTTAAAGAAAACAGCATTATATCTTACTTGAGTTCCTGCGAGCTTGTGGCCAGCATACTTCGAATACTTTTGTCAGCCAAGGGGCAGCCAGATAGACTGTAAAATAGGGCAGGATAGCTAAGTAAGTCAACCTTCTTAAAAACTAAGGCCTTTCAAACAAACACAACGTTAAAAAAACTAAAACTAAAAATTGTAATGCAGAAAAGCGATGGGGTGGGCAAGTGCTGCAATACTGAATTTTGTAATACAAGTTAACCCTCTGAATATATTTAGATACAAATTTTAATTCTGGATTCATAGATTTTCCCCCTGTAAAGCTTGTAAGTGTAACAAAATGGTATTAGTATTAGTGATCTGTGGGTTAACTATTTGAAAGTTTAGGAATTTTTAAGAATTTTAGTTGTTTGAAAAGAAAAAGACGTTTATACAACAACACAAATTAGCATGCTCTTAAGATCAACACTTATTACTCAAAGGGTTAACACAATAGTTCAACATTTTTACTTTGACAGCATTGTTGAGGTAAGCTGAAAACAATAAATTGAAAAGACAGAATCCACCATGAAAAAAATGAAGTCACACCTTCTATGTGAGGCGTAATTACCAGTCACATGACCACTCCCATCACACCCTGGTGTTGGACATCTGCCACCAAACAAAAACAAAAAACAGCCAAAATAGTAAGTATGTTTAAAAAAACTTTTAAAAGTTTCATTGTTTCCAGTTTAGCTGCAATGTCTGCAAGGGGGATTTAAGCATCCTAACGGAAAAGCTGCAAAAATGAACAGAATTCAATGAAAATGTACGATATAGCATTATTAAGGACAAGCAGATACCATGTTAGCTTAATCACTTAAACTTAACTGACAGTCTGAAACATTTATATGCTGCAAATGCTGCATGCTCAAACTGCAAGGCATATATGCACTTGATTGTTCAGATAAGACAAAAAAGAGAGAGAAAGGGTTAGAAAAGAGTAAAAAAAATAATTTCACCTCACATTATGCTTACGTTATTAAATCCTTTTTGTTCTCTTTGCATTGAGGATATTTGGGCTTAGGACTTGGGATGGTGACTTCCCCAGGATACCTTCGTTCTTCTAGTGCTTCTTGGAAAGGATCTAAATCTTCTGGCTGCAGGCAGAGATAAAACATCAGTCAAACCCAAAGAGGAGGCAACATTTATAGAAAAATTAACAGTGTCACTGTGATCTGAACACAGAACATTTCAAAGGCAACCCTCTTTGCATTAGTGGAGAAGGTGGATCCATTCGGACTCTCTACACCTTCAACAAACCACTACTATGGAATGGATGCATATGGAGAATTGTCCCTACAATTAAGTTATAGGGGAAGTCCACGGTCAGCGTAAATACACATCATGGCTCCTTTGTGTATTATCACAGCAGCATAATTATTGATACAAATTGCTTCCACATACTGGAAATGATGTAACTGCTATAATGTATGTGATGTGTTTAGCATGAGGTTCCTTTCTGAAAGATTTGTACTGGCATGCGTCATCACATGCACTAATAGTTATTCTATTAGCCAAGCTATTTACAGACACTTTAGGAGGTATGTGGAATGTTTGCCACACAGAAGACATTTTCAGTGGCAATAAACAGTCCTCCCTTTTACCTTCAGATTTAATCATGCAATTCTGAACAAATGAAAAAGAGATTTATTGTTAAATCAGAATTCACCTTCATTTATCAAAATGACTTGCTGGATATCTGAAATGTTTGAGACATCAAAATCTCAGATAAAACTGTGTGTTTGAGGTTGCTGTTTACATATGTAATGTATACTAGATTAGCAGAAAAAGATTCCACTGAATTTGGATAGTAAAGCAGTCTACAGCATAAGAAATTACGGTTCCTCTCTTTTTGGAATCAATCTGTCCTTATTTATAACAGCAGCAACTTGTATAAGGAAAAATCGGTATTCTTTTGTGAAATAACATACATAAAGACTTCCCATTTCCACACCTAAAATTAATCAACAACAGCAACAAAACCCCTCCAACAATAATAACTTTTGTATAACTAGACGTCCTGCCAAAATATGAACAAAATATGAACAAAATATATACAGAAATCATATAACAGCCCTTAATAGATCTGTCTACCAAGTACAAGTTTATAATTCACAAATCTGATGCATTCATGGTGAAAACTTTCAAGCTCTCTATATTAATGTGCACTGACTCAAAAATTCCTGTAGATGGTAGTCTACGCTTCCTGTAGATAGTGGTCTACCCAAAAGATTTAAAGTGCTGTGTCTTCTTTGCATACCCTCCATTCCCTATATGTTTTTCTGTTTTAGTAATAACACACACAAAACATACCCATATGTATCTAAGATTTTTTTAAAATCTGTGCCATCATTTATTTATGCAAAAGTAAATGAGATTTATATTGCCAGTGAGAAAGAGTGCATGCAAGTCCAGACAGTCAAAACACATTGGAACCAAAGTCTGTGACACTAAAGCCTGAGACTGTAAAATCATGCCTATATTACAGAAGCTGGACTATAAATTGTGGCTAGGAAGAGTTAAAACTTGACAAATATATACAGCATCTTCATAAATAAATCTGTACTGATGACAATCAAGAGTATCCTTCTCAAGCAGTGATCAAAAACATCTTACGTTATTTTTTTTTTGATATTTAGAACTATAGACACAAAATATTACTACCACTTTCCAGGTTTCCTGAGTTATCAAAGCAACAAGAACAAAGAAGGAAAGCAGGGGGGAGTGCTATATTAAGTTGAATTAAAATTCAATGAAAACAAACATAGAATAGTTAAGAACCTAATTTATAGTGAATCATTTTGTCAGATATCATCTTAAAAAATTTAAATAGTCATCCTTAACTGTAAGCTAATATTGTTAAATATTTCACCCCTAGCTTTTAGAAATCACATGGATCAAGACAATGAAACTTGAAATGAGAAGCTTAAGGATAAAACCAACATACATTAATTTCTTTTGAATCATCTTCATCTATCCTACTAGGCTTCATTTTTGTGTAGTCCACCGGCAAGTCCCAGCAGTCACCCTCATTCAGCTGATAACACCTGTTATTCATCACAGCCTGTTGTTGCGGTGACATTGGTTCCAGTGGCGTCAAAATGGTGCAACAACCATCCCGCTGCCTCTGCTTGTTCAAGCTAAGATCTAACGTTCCATTTTCATCCACTTCCATATCAGGATTCTGCTTATTTAAAACGAGAGAGAGAGAGATAGTTTAGTTCTTGTCACCAACAAACTACTTTGCTTTGGTTTACAATCTGACAGTTTCAGCAGACTAATGATAATAACCCAGCCTCACTCTCTCCTGAGCATCTCTCATTAAATGGAATTCCTTATTAACGATTCCATTCTCTGGGATCTCCCCTGTTAAAAAAAAGATATACAATAAAAATCTATTAAAAAACATTTCCTTGTTTCCCCCCCTATTCTCTGGATTTATTCTTCCTTGACAGGTCTAGTTCTCTAAATCAAGATCTGTATGGCTCTGATTGCCAAGAATGAGATATAGCGATAATAGAAAATTCATTCCTTCTACATGCTAGCATCTACAGAATCATAAACAAGAAAAAGTTTCAGTTACTAAACACAAAACATACCATTCTCAATCAGTAACACCAGTGGGCAGTTTCAGCAGATTGGCCCTATAAGCCTCTTTCTTTGCAATATACTCGCCACCTTCATATAAAGTGGACATACATTCAAATCACACAGACACCCCATCATAGGCATTCAGTTCTAACATGCCTTTGCTCTCTACAAAGTCTTCCTTTATAATCATCTCAGCTTGGGAAAAAGAAACTGGTAGTGACATTCCCTGAAGCAAATGAGGAAGTGTGGACTAAGACATGCAAGGAAAGTGAGGCATTTTCTTGCTGCCCTGTTTCAACACCACCTTTGCATAATTTGAGCAAAAAATCATTTTTTCTTTCAAACCTTAGTTTTCCAAAAGCAGGTGATAACATACTGGGATGATGAGAAATAAGGACAAAACCCAAAATTCACACTGCAATTTGTATTTTCAAGAAATAAATTATTCTTCTGGAGAGAAAAAAATTAAGATTTGTGTGAAAGCTACTGTTTTTACTTTATGGACTAATAAAAGCCTTCAGAAGACAATCCAAGAGAAACTTGCTTCTTGTGCTTATACTACCAAGATAAATCAGAACATCACATTTCTACTTGGATATCTTCTCTAATTGATCAAACTTGGTTCCTTTCATGATGGTGATTTTGTGTGGCATTTACCATCCTGGAAGTACTCTTGCAACATTAAGGGGAAAGCACTTGGGAAGGAAGACTTCAGTTGCATAAACTTTCCTTTCCCCTAAAGCAACTTACATGGTTTGCATGCATGCCAGAACACATGGACATATGGAGTCGTCTTATACTGACTGAGACCCATGGGTTTATCAAGGTCAGTATTTTTTACTGTGATTGGCAGTGGTCTCCAGAGTCTCAGATGAAGCTCTTTCGTATCACTGGCTATTGGATCCTTTGGACCGGAGATGCCAGAAACTAAACCTAGGACCCACATGCCAAACCGATACCCTACCACTGAGGTGCATCCCATGCCTTAAAATTTTTGATTTTTCCCCCCTGTATGATATTAAATGTATGGGAGGGGGTAATTTGTGTGTGTGAAGGTTTGCATGCATGCCAGAACACATGGACATATGGAGTCGTCTTATACTGAGTGAGACCCATGGGTTTATCAAGGTCAGTATTTTTTACTGTGATTGGCAGTGGTCTCCAGAGTCTCAGATGAAGCTCTTTCGTATCACTGGCTATTGGATCCTTTGGACCGGAGATGCCAGAAACTAAACCTAGGACCCACATGCCAAACCGATACCCTACCACTGAGGTGCATCCCAGGCCTTAACATTTTTTGATTCCCCCCCCCCTGTAGGATATTAAACGTATGGGAGGGGGTAATTTGTGTGTGTGAAAATAAAGCTTTCCCCATTTGTCTGAAATTACCTTCATTATTCTAATTGTTGCTAAAGCTACGCTACTCCTTTTTCTTTGTTAAAGAACAGGATGCATTAAACCTTTGGGTTTTTTTCCCAAGGGAAATGCAAAACACATCAACTAGGTCCAAAGTTCCTACATATGCACAAAATCTCTCCTTGTGTTCGTCTGCACAGCCATCTAGTGGCCTCATATGGAAAAATTATTTTCATCCACCAATCTATTTTAAGGAAACTGTTTCTCATCAATTACTAGAATAAAATATTGGAATTCCTTTGCAATAAAATAAAGAAATTAGTTATTTGAGTATATAACCTTGGCTCTATTTATATTTTTAATTAATTCTTTTCATAATTGCTAATGATTATTAACCTATGAAGAGATCACAATTATTTAATGTAGTATAAAATTTTTGTATATAAATATTTTAAATAAATAAATAATCAATCCAGTATAGCACAATTACTGGTTTCCAAAACGTGTAAGCTGTGGCTATTGAAAACATCTTGGTCAGTCTTTGACATTTTTAGAGCCAGATTCTTCACGATAAATTAACCAGTATAGCACAATTACTGGTTTCCAAAACGTGTAAGCTGTGGCTATTGAAAACATCTTGGTCAGTCTTTGACATTTTTAGAGCCAGATTCTTCACGATTATACACAAAGACTGGAGGTTTATTCAAACAGAAGTCTAGGCTAATGCCAAAATTGGGTGGTTTAATGCCTTGTGTAAGCATTGTATATGATCTAGTGTATTCCTAAGGCTCCCACTGCCAGCTTCTGAAGGCACAGCTCAGTGTCTGGAGCCAGTGCCCGGCCCAGACTTGCCCAGACCCCCACCAGCCACAGTAAGGCAGTCCCAGGCACCGCAGGACTGGGCTTGAAGATCAGACCGCAGGCACTCACCTGAGGCTGAGAGGAGTGTCGCCAGGTCAGCTACTGCAGGGAGAGCCAAGGTGGTAGGGGCTAGAGGTTGCTGAGGCTGAGAGTCAGCCTGGGTTCGCCCTAACAAGGCTGATGTCATTGGCCAGTGACAGCCTGGTGACACCCACACGCAGTGTTCTGTCTAAGCTGTGGAGTCTCATGAGCCAAAATTCTACTCTGTGAGCCAAAAGACCTAACAGCATTAAAGTTCTGTGGGAGCCTACATTTTTTAAAGGGAGGAAGGGAGGAAGGGAGGGAGGGAGGGAGCACTGAAATGGTTTCTTGCCCTTTAAAGCAAACAGTGCAGCAGATCCGCCAGTCAGCTGTTTGCTTTAAAGGGCGGACAGCCATTAGAATCCTCCATTTCACTCTCCGCATACTTCCAAGGAGGGGGAAGCCAAAGGGAGCGCTGAAATGGCTTCCTGTCCTTTAAACCAAACAGTGCGGTGGGTCTGCCCATCAGCTGTTCACTTTAAAGGGCGAGCAGCCATTAGAGTACTCTGTTTCACACACACACCCCGCTTCCAAAAGGGGAAGCCAAAGGGAGCACTGAAATGGCTCCCCACCCTTTAAACTGAACAGCTGACTGATGGACCTTCCAGTCAGCTGTTCATTTTAAATGGCTGCCTTTCTCTTCCTCCCCAGGGGAGGGGGGAGGACACCTTGGTCAGTGGGGGGAAAGTCTCCCTCTTCCCCCCATGCAATGTAGGGAGCCAGGCAGGGCAAGCTGCCATGCAGCAGCAGCCCTGACAAGGCAGACAGGCAGAGTTTCCTTGCCCTGTTCTCAGCCTAGGCTCTGTGTGCTAGGGGCTGGGAAATTGTGCACCATGATAGGCTGGCACATCTTAGAGGGAACACTGCCCACACCATCCCAGAAGCCAGACCTGGCAGCCCTCAAGACTGTCAGGGAATTGGACTAGGGTTGCCAGCTATGAACTGTGAAATACCTGGGTGGAGCCTGGGGAAGGCGGGGTTTGTGGAGGGACCTCAGCAGCATACAATGCCATAGAGTCCACCCTCCTAAGCAGCCATTTTCTCCAGGGAAATTAATTTTTGTCATTGGGAGATCAATTTTAATAGCAGGGATCACCAGGTACCACTGGAGGTTGGCAACCCTAAAGTGGACCCCACCCCCATGGGAGGGCAACAGCTTTGCTGACAGACACAGCAGCAGACAAAGCCAAGGCAAGAGGCCAGGGATAGAGCCAGGAGAGGATGGTCCATGGGTTGGAGTAGAGACTAGTCCTCGGCTACAGAAGGGAAAGGAAAAACCAGTGTTTGGGGGGAAGGATTAAGAAACAGGCAACAGCCAGGAAAGAATGGGCAAATGCTCCAACCGTAGCTCCAGACTGGCTAGAACAGGAACCACAGCCTGATGAGCAGGGCCAGGATTGGACCCTGGGAAAAAAGGGGTGAGGCGGGCATCTTTCAAAAGCTCTAGGGACAGGTTGAGGAGAAAGGGGGTAAAAGGGGTGGGTAGGACATTCTCCTTGAAGGGAGGTAGATGTCCAAGGAATGGGAGGGGTGGGGCAGGCATCTTTCAAAAGGGAAGCTCTAGGGACAGGTTGAGGAGAAAAGGGGTAAAGGGGGTGGGTAGGACATTCTGCTTGAAGGGAGGTAGATGTCCAAGGAATGGAAGAGAGTGAGGGTGCTGCAACCTCCTCTCTCTCCTATTCTGAGGCCTGGAGGGGCTTCCCGCAGTGTGGGCTAACACAGCAGAAGGGTGTGGCCAATGAGGGAGAACCCTCACAATCAGGAAATGTGAGCGACTTTCCAAAAAGTACTGAAGCAGACTCTTAAACATGGACAGGGGAAGATTGCCAGCAGAAATGCCCAAAGTAATGGCACTGTCATAAAAGTAAACTTTAATATATCCCCACCTTTTGAATGTGCTGGAGACACCTATCTTGCATGCATCTCTGGGTGAAGGTAGTGATATTTATGGAGACATATATACAATATAAAACTGACAGACACGTTGCAAGATGATGCCACATAGTGCACCAAGGCTGAAAACGATTCCAGATTTTGTGGATTGAATTTACCTTTATTTTTCTAATTCTGAACATGGTCCCAGAGTGCAGATGATAATAAAACAGAACAAAACAAAAGCCACCATGGGGTCAGGTGCAGAAAAGAGGGATGTTTTGATAAATCTGGAGGAACCACCAGATTTGCAAAAAATGCTGAAGTTTAAAAAATATAGACAATTTTTTTAAAATGCTGCAATCTCATGAGATTGCCTAGGCAATCCAAAATGGCTACTGCAGTTTTATTTTGAAACCTGACATGTTTAGGTAGAGGTAGGAGTAGGAAAACAGCAAAAACAAAGGCTACTGCAGTTTTATTTTGAAAACTGACATGTTTAGGTAGAGGTAGGAGTAGGAAAACAGCAAAAACAAGACAATGGGGGTGAGCAACACTACGATGGAGGCAAACAGGAAAGAAGAATGGAGCAAAAGTGAGGAGAAGGGAAGAAAAAAAGGATTGAAAGGAAACCAGCAGATAAGGGAGGGAACTATGAAAGGTGGATAAGAAGGGAAAGAAGAAAGCAGGAAAAGGGATAGGACTTCTTCAGGATAGGAAGGAAGGAAGGAAGGAAGGAAGGAAGGAAGGAAGGAAGGAAGGAAGGAAGGAAGGAAGGAAGGAAGGAAGGACCTAGAGGAGAGAATGAGAAGGAAGGAAGGGGAGTGGTGGAAAGAAAGAAAATATGGGCCAAGAGGGGAGAGAGAGTGAGAGAGAGAGCAGGAAGGAAGAACTTCAGATCTCACAAGTCCTTCAGATCTCTTTTTCATAACCATATAATACCCACTGTATGTTATCCTGACTAGATTTTTTTGGTACAGAGAGCACAGGCCTTATTTCCAACAAACAATAAATAAACTCTCTGAAATTATGATATTATCACATAACTCCTTTCTTAATATAACTAAAGACATTAAGACATAGTTCAGTTCACTTGAACAACCTTTCTATTTTCAACTGTTTTCCCCAATTATAATATAATACAGCAGCTATCGTTAAATTATTGCCCACTTTTAACTCTGTATTTTGAACTAGATTGAGATGCTTGCTGTTGGACTGCCAGAGCAAAAATGCAAGATTTAAATTTATTTGAAGAACAAGAAGAATTAAAAGTGATTACTGAAGTCATCACTGATGCATATGCTAGTGCAATAGAGAGTTATGTTTCCTCTATGTGAAAACAAATAAAATACTAGGTGTGTGCATATTTTACCCGGGAACAGAGGTCCTGAGGTTTTGTGGAGAGGTTCTGAGGCATCTCCCTGCAGCGCGTGGAAAGATTCAGAATAGCCGTTGCAGCCATGTGTGCTGCCTCCATGTCATGGGTATAGTCAAAGCTGCTCTTGCTGCAGGTACTGCTGGCACTGCTGCCTCCCCCACAGCTCATGTTGCTGCTGCTGCTAGGGGCATAGCTGCTGGTTGTGCTGCTGGTTGGGCTTGAATTCTTACAGTAACGTTTAGCTGCAGGAAGGAAAAAGGACAAAGATGACTTTTAGGAAAAGCTGACATCTATGCAAATACAAGGAAAGCAATGCAATCTGCAGAGAGTGGTATTTCATATGGAACTGCGAAGTCTACTGAAGGAAGGGGGGAAGCAAGAAAAAAAATCCCTGATGATTTTATATTTCAGTGAAGCATCTCTGCACAAGAAACCTGGATGCAATATCAAAGGAAGGTAAGTAATAACCTACAGAGTGCTCTGCTGTGACACACAGATTTACAGCAACCAAAACATGCAGTGGACATGAACCGATAAGGGCTTTTAAAAGGAATGCTCACCAGCGAGCGCACACAAACACACACTCGTTATTCCGCAATACAACCAATTGTAAATGCTTGTAATAAAATGCTAGTTAGTTCAAACTACTGCTTGGTGGCTGCACCCATATGAATATTTTTCTCTGCTTTGGCAACCAAGCTGCAGCACTATTTTTGCTATGATCTTTCTGGAAAATGTCCAAATGTGGTAAGACACCATGAACATTTTCAAAGGTCCTGCCCACACCAGTGCCATTTCCTGCAGTCAGCCCCACACAGCCATTTGCTTTACCATGCCCCTTGATGGCCTGAAGGCATTTTTTAAAAAAATATATCAATAACTGTTATAATGGTATAGCAATTATCTTTAAAAAAATCTTTTAAAAAACTCTCCAGTGGGTACAGCAAGAAAACAATGCAGGGGGAAATGGCAGCTGACAGGGGAAGTGAGCAGAAAACTTCCACGTGGATGCTCCATTGCCAGAGTTAATGCTTCTGCATTTATAGGAGCAATGAATGCACAATGGGGAATATGTGCTGTGTGGATGCAGCCTGTGACACACTTTCTTTACAGTGCTGCCCTAGGAGACATGCAAGAAGTATAATAAGTAACATGACAGCAAGAAGATAATGTGCTTGATCCCCTCAGCATAGTGTTTTAGAAGCCTAAATGAAATAATAAAATGACATCCCCTTGTGATAATCCCTCCAGCTGCTAAGCCTGGCTGCCTTTCCTTGCGTTTCTGACTTTGCTGCTCCTGAGACCATGTGCCCGTCAATCCAACCTATCCTCCTTTCATGACACTTTGCACTGCCTTCTCCAGTCCTGCCAAGTCCTCCCTAGAAAGCATCAAGATGGGACAGAAAGATCAGGTGGACGAGGAAGGAAAATATGCATGATCAAAAGGACAAAAGTCACAAAGGTTCAAAGCAGTACTTCTGAAAGGTCCATCTGATCCATCAGCTCTTCTCCAGGACAAACTTGAATGAATATAAATTTATTTCCAAATATTAAATACATATGTATGTAACAAAGCAATATGTAAAACTCAAATCTCTTTGGATTGTGTAGATTCCGTCAACCAATCTAGAAATGACAGGGAGAGATCTGTAACTGTATTGCTTCTGCAGTTTATTTTTTTAAAAAAATAGTTAGTAGGTGTACTATTTCAAATCAGACTGAGGCCATGGCAATGCGGGCAGAGGGAAATACTTTCTCCCTTGTATCATTGTCCTAGTTCATGGTATCTGAAATTAAAAACTCTGGGCACTGGACTACCAAGAAGGGGGTCACAGGAAGACAAACATCTACAGGTCCTGGTCACCCTAGAGACTCAGCTAGGTAGGTCATGTTATTTGTTTTAGGAACAGATATTTATACGTATCTCAGCTATCTGACTATATTCCTGATATATTTCAAAGCAATTAAATGTTTATCCTAGAAATCTGGAATCTTGTGAAGGATGTATGTGTCTGAAGAGGGCACTTTTGAAATAAACAAATTCTAAATTTCAGACAAGGATTTAGATGACTCTGTCCTGGATTCCTCTTATTAGTAAATTATCCACCTGCAAGCATCTATAGAGAAGACACAAACTGCATTTTGCAATGTGTGTGTACCTCCTTTCCTTGCTCATGTGAAACAGCTTGGTGGATTTGGCTTGAAGTTCATAGGTCAAAAGCAGGCATGTCCAATTCTTAATACATCAGTTCTGATATATTTTGAATGGAAACATTGTTTGTCGGATTTTAAACATAAGAGCAATAACAATCCCTTGTCTGTAATGTCCATGAAGATAATTGTACACTGATTAAATTCCATTAGAAATATGGGTAAAAGAATTCCAAGGGGGGCATAGACTGACAAACTTTGGGGTCTTAGTCACTCTAGGGGCTCATGGTATTTGTTTTGTTGTTGTCTGGAGTGTATATGGTGGTGGGGGGGGAGGCAAAGGACACCTTTGTCTAGGGTCCATGGAGGCTCCTGGCAGCCCTGTCTGGGTGCAACGTGAGGGATGAAGGAAGGGAGAAACAGTTGGGGTCAATGTTCCCTCTAAGCTGTGGAGTCTTGTGAGCAAAAATTCTACTTTGTGAGCTCCTGCCATTAAAGTCGTGAGTGACCATTTTGGCTACTGCATGAATTAGTTTGCTCTGGAGCCCTCCTTCCGGAGCGAAGGCAAAAATGTGTGAGCTGGAGGCTAAAAAAACTGTGAGCTAGTTCACACTAACTCAGCTTAGAGGGAACACTGGTTGGGGGCTGACCACAAAGAAACATTTTCAGAAAAGGTTACCAGCAGTCCCAGGAGGGGTTGGGAAAAAAATCTTGGACAAAAAGCTTTACGGGAGTTGCTTAAAAGTGTATATGGATAAGGCCCTAAAAGTAAAACCCTGCTCATCAACACATTTAGCTAAGGTCTTGTTCTAGGGTTGCCAGGTCCCCTCGACCCCTAGTAGGGGATGGGGATTAAGGTTGCTAGATCCAGGCTAAGAAACCCCTGGAAATTTGGGGATGGAGCCTGGGGAGGACAGGGACCTCAGTGGAGTACAATGCCATAGAGTCCACCCTGCAAAACATCCATTTTTCCAGGGGAGCTCTGTAGTCTTTAGATGAGCTGTAATTCCAAGGGATCCCCAGGTCCTATTTGGATGCTGGCAACCCTGCCTTGTTCTTACAAATAGCAAATATGATGGTAAACCTGTTTCTGGGTTGTATTTCTTCAGACTGAAGGTGGAAGCTTGCCTAACTGACACCTTGTACGTTCCCCCCCCCCCAATCGGAATAATGAGACAGACAACAGTCTGGAGGCAAACAAGGACCGCTTTATTAACTATTTAAGAACATAACAGTGTGGCAAGGGACAAACTAAGTGAGCATGGAACAGACAAGGCAGGTGTCACTCCCTGACCAACCTCCTTGCCCATCATGGGCGAGTCACCAGCTCCGGTCTTGAGCCAACAGTCTGGCTCACGACCGGCAGCCCAGCAAGCTGGTTGCCACCCAGGAGCACCTACCCCTGAAGCCATACAACTTGCAGGGAGGAGCTTGCCCCAAGAGGTTCCCAGAGGTGATCATCATTCCTCACGCTGGACCATAAAATCCAAAGGTGGTTCCTGATAACCTCCTGTTCCCCAATGGGAAAATGCCATAAAGTGCTCACCGGTTCAGCTTTCTTACCTGCACAATCCTGCTAAGTGACCAACCTATTTAATAACAACCACTACAACCACAACTCAGTGCAAGGTAGGCAAAAATACCTCCACCCATTCAGCCAATACTTGGTAGAAGCAAAAAATTCCTACCTGGCTCCAACAGGCGACCAGCAACAGCCTATACTAAGAACAGGGCAGGAGGGTGGGCGAGCATGAGGCACAACTGGTTTGGACGGGAGTGGAACCCTGCCTTTTGCAGGGCCAGCTCCGCCTCCCCACGTCACGATGCCTAGTGTCATGGTGTTGTTGCTGCCCCGCCTTCCTCTGGGGCGGCAAAGCAGCCCATGGCCTCTAACAGCCTTGTCGGGAGGCCGAGAGCCAAGTTAGCTTTGATTGATTGAAACTGTGGGTTCAAGCATTTCTAAATGTAAACGCAACACCTGATTTGAGAGTTCTAATTTGATTTTTCACAATTCTTTTAAATATAAAACCCTGAAAAAGACTTGCATTTTAAGAGAATTTTACACTGTGGAAATGTGCGCAAATTATTGCATTTGATAGTCCTTCCAAATGTTATTATAAAATGTGGATCTTCTCTGGGAAGAGAAGTTCTTTGTTATAGGGACTTGAGGTCAGAACTGCCTATCTTTGGGAAGCAGAAAAAATTTGGTCTTCATAGAGACACACCCACTGTGCCCTTCTTTCACCAGGTAAACTATGCTGTGTTACTTCTGTAACGGTTGTAAAAATATTTTACTTATTATTAGAATGTTTGTGAGCTGTTTTCCCCTACATAATGAATCCTGGTCTGGTAACACTGCCCTCTAGAGAGAGGAGATTTCTGCACAGGTTGGGTGAGGGGTTGCCTGGCAACATGACAGAAAAAGCGAAGGGTAAACTCCAGGAAAAGAGCAGGGGTGTTGTTGTTTTTCTGAGGAGGTGAGGACTTTTCTATAAAGGAAGCAGTTGCAAGGAAGAAAGCCAGTGGAACAGAGAGTAGGGCAGTTGACAGAAAAGTAGCTGTCTTCTGGGCCTTTTGTTCCAGAGTGTTTCATGCTGTTGTGAGGAAAAGTGGCTTCTTGGCCTGAAAAGAAAAGAGACTATAGTGGTTATATAAACACCCCCTATCACTGGGTGGTGCTGTTGTACATGTGAGTGTTTGGATTGGTTCTACAGTTTTAGTTTTGTGGGGATTGGAAATCTCCCAGAATTACAACTGATCTCCAGTTTACAGAAATTAGTTCCCTTGGAGAACATGACTGCTTAGAAGGGTGGACTCCAGGGATGTTAGACTCCACATGGGACCTGGGGATCCCCTGGAATTACAGCTCATCTACAGATTACAGAGATCAGTCCCCCTGGAGAAGATGGATGCTTTGGAGGGTGGACTCTATAGCACTGTACTCTACTGAGGTCCCTGTCCTACTCAGGCTCCATTCCCAAATATCCAGGAGTTTCCCAACGTGGATCTGGCAACCGTAACCCCATCCCCCTCTAGTGGCCAGGGGAAACATGGAAATCCTAGCGGACTCTAATACATGATACTCACTGGG